AGCCCTACACGGCGGGGGGATGCGAGCGCAGACAAAGGTCACCGCGGCCCTGCTGTGCATGCATGCGTGCACGCGGGACTCGGCGAGGAGACGGCCGCCGTCACAGGGGATAAGCAGCAATTAATAAGCTCTATTTGGCAGCAGAGCGCACCCTTTGGCAAACAGGCAATCGCCATGTATTCACCAGGGCTGCTAAGCTCTACGGAGATTACACACAAATAATTACCAGGGGGTTTCCACTTCGCTCAAGAGAAAAATCCTGTTGCGGTTTCGTTCAGCCTGCCAGTCAAGTGAGCGCATCGCCGTCTGCGCATGACCGTGCGAGACGCTTCTCCAGCTCTGACACTACGCAAATCAGGCCCCTGAAATCAGGGGAAGGCAGAAGGACACACTGCTGCAGAAGGATGGCTAAACAAACATCGCCAATACGGCTCTGAGAGGAGCTAACGGGCCTTCTCTGTTCGGTGGTGATGCACCAGCTCAGCTGGGGACATCTCCACCAGCTACGCGCTTCCCAGTTGCACTCTGAGGACAGCCAGGCTAGACTGAAATAACTCAACACCCTTAGCTCACAGAAGCTGGCAAAAGCAAGAGGTGGAGCCAGTTTAAACATGTATGTGAGACATCTGCACCAGTTTGGGCAGCTTTAGCTCATTCAGCCCAGTCGGTCTTTCCTAGGGAACCAGTCCATGGCCTAGGACAGGCAGCTTCTCTACCCCAAAGCCCAACCACAGCAGCTACAGGACCTGGAGATGCCTTCTGCTGGTGCTCGCCGAGCAGTCACACTGCTCTTCACTGGCTGCAGTAACCGACAACGTGAACGGAACAGCCTTTCAGTTCTTATCACAGCCCTCTCGCCTTAAACCTCACGTGGCGATAACCAGCTACAGGGTGGTTTGGTTCCAATCTGTCTGTCCTTCATCCCGCTCCATCACCTGCCACATCTCATCCTGCCTCCCCGGCTCTGTGCTGATCTCGCCGGGCTAACACCTCAGGGCCGCTGGCTTTCCTGCCTTCATTTCCTGGGCCTCTCTAACCAGATGTCCAGCTCCGCTCCGCTGGCTTTGTGCCACATCTTCACAACGCTGCCAGACTTGTTTTTGAAAGTCTGAATCTACACCACTTGCCTGCTAGCCTTCTGCCAGCCTGAGCCACAACTGCAGCCCCACCATCGTGCCCACACTCTCATTTGGGTTTACAGAACTCGAGTCCTGTGTGTTTTCACTTGCAAAAAGATTCTCGACAGCGGAATTACTGCTGACACCTTCTAAGGCACACTCAACACGGGCCAAGGTGCGGCAGTCACATTTTTTTGTCTCCTAGTAGAAAAAACTGGTGAGAGAGGACATTTCTGGGCACAAAAAAAGGTTATACTAAGGGAGTTTGGAGTGGGGTTGGTTAACTTTTTCTCCATTTTCTGAAGAGCTTTAGGAGCAGGCACTGGCTGATGAAATGCTGTCGGCCGAGCAGGACAGCCTACCTTCTAAAACAGGAAGCGTGCGATACCGTTCGCAGGGCCTGGCTTCCCAACACCGACTGAAAGGACACGCTCTGTAAAGCGACCACTAAACTCACTGCATCGGCTTCCCTTCGAAGCCAGCATCTTCCTCTTTCTCCCCAGGAAACGAAAGCCATGCTACCAAGAAAACTTTATCTGCTTTATAGGAGATTCTTCGTGAGGAGCATCAGCTCCTAAGGACTGCCCAGGAGAGTTTGAAATCCTGGCTGTTTGGAGTTGGGCAGCCAACGAACGCCAGGTGTTTGCACATGAACAGCGTTTGCAAACCCCGGCGTTACGAGGAAGAACCGCTGCACAGGGCCGAGCAGAGGTGAACTCTGCAGTAACAACTTCCACCTACTTCCACTGGCCCAGTGATGGGGACAGCAAGACACAAGCAAGCATCAGGGTGACTTCTAATCAACGGGCAAGAGCAAGCCAGCAAATTAACAGGCAAGGCAGTTTTAAAGTGTGTCTTTAAAAGCACCTTAGGAAACACCACAACGCCACGTTCAAGTTTATCTTACTGTCCGGAGGGCTTCAACACTTACTTTCGAAGGATGATGACAGCTCTCCTCTCCTTGATGTCCTGTGGTCGGATACAGTGTGTAATTTCGTCGGCTGCATACCCACTGACAACAAAAACAAAAAGCTGCTGTGAGAAAGATGACAGGCAGAGGCAGAAAGCGGTTGCCAGCCTCAGCAACTCAGGTTGGCCAGCCACGTCCGAACTTCCACCATGAATCCCTCCTCCAAACACCATTCCCCAGGCACATGGAAGCTAGACTTATAGGAAGGAAGAAACTTCAGGAAAGAATGAGGACAGTCAGGGTTTGGTTTTTTTTGGTACTCGATATTTTAGCACACACCAGAGGAAACTGCCACCTGCCATAACAATGTGAAATAAGACACATAGAAAACGAGTTTATGGAGTGTAAATTCAGCCAATTCACTTATCAAGGGACTAGAGATCAACAGGGGAAAAAAAAAAGCCAGCACCTTGCTCCAAAGCACCTTCTCATGCCATGTTTCAGAGAAAAAACCTCTCTCCTGGCCGAGATGCGCAGCATAGCCAGACACGACCAGGCACCGGAGTCAAGGAGCAGATTCGTTAGCCGAGGAGGGGGTGCAGGGGTGGGTGGCACGAGTCGAGCATCTCCCCCAGGCACAGATGCTGCCGCTCTCCCCGCTACCCCAGCGTGGCACCTCCTCAGCCATGGTACAAACACCCACTCCCAGGACAGCCCCAAGCCTGACGCACACGGGGTGACCTTCGAATTCAGGCCCCCTCAAACCTCCCCGCCACGGGGCTCGCGAGGCGAGGCAGCGACCCAGGCCGATGAAAACTGCTGCATCGCATGCAGCTGCGTGGCCACGCGGTACCCGCTCCCGGTAGTGGTGTTTTGCTGTATGAGATGACTTCACCCACTCCACGTTTCTAGCAGGCAGGAGCAAAGCCACAGCCAACGCGGGGCCCCAGCCACCTGCAAAGCACAGGAGCGGTTTTCTCGCGTCTGCTTCTGCTGTCGAGCGCAGCTCCCGGGGTCCAGCACAGTACACGAGCTCGCGGCGCGACCGTGGAAAGCAGCCATCACATCTGCTCAGACAAACAAGCCACCCGGAGCTCCTCTCGTCACTCCCACAGGCGCTCGGGTCCGAGAGCTGGGCCTGCCCTCTACCTGCTGTTTGCAGAGCGCCTGTTCACAAGTCTTCTAGAGCCCAACGCGGGGAAAAGAGAAGTTAAACGCCTTCAGAGCCGCGTGAAACGGCTGACGAGGACAGGAACGCCTTTGAAGGGACATCACAGAATCCCAGCATGGCAGGGGTTGGAAGGGACCTCTGTGGATCATCTAGTCC